CGGATCGCCGGTACCCCTCCACCACGATAAGGTGGCGGCATGGAGGGGCGACGATCGGGCCCGGGGCAGCGGCCCCAAATATTGTAATCTTATTTCAGAAGCGGATGGAGAAAAGAACAGCCGACTGAGGTAATAAATAACATTTTCCTTTTTTTTTCTTTTGAAATATTCTGCTCAGTGCTATCGGCCGGCTAGGTACCAATTACTTACGCCGACGCCGATCCTAAATAAATACTGCAAACCTATAAACCTTGTAAAGCACCGATCAGATAATCTCTCTAAATTATGCATTGTTTCCGAGACTCTCCATGAATCACTCCTCCTTCTCATCCTTTTCCCCACGAACCTCATTGGTTATCAACTTCCTAAACCTACTCCGTGCCCCTTTTCCCGAAACTTCCATTGGGCACTAGATTTCCCAAGCCCTCCTTATCCATTCCTCAGGAAAACTACTGGTCCTTCGATTTCCAAAATCACCCCTCTAATCGACCATCCGAAGGGCTTAAAAGAGACCTTTCTGACTCTATTTTCTACTTCCCACTTCCTTCTTCTCGCTGACCGTCGTTGAGAACTCCAGGGCAACTCTTCCGCTGGGAAACACCAAGGTATCATCTGCCGAAACGCTTTTCTTCACTGGCAACACCGTGGAGAACACGCTGAGACCCTGCTGACGTTCCGGCTTGCCGATCATCAACACGATAACTCCTAACCCTGTCTTTACCACTTTCCCACGAAGGCGTTACTAGTTCTACGCCCTCGTTCATTCCGCTTATCTATTTCCCGAGCTATTTGCTCATCGACGACGTTAGTAGACCCACGTTTCCGATCTCTAAACTCCTCATTCTCCAAACCTCTTATATGAGTCTCGCGAGTGTAAAATAGTTAGACCAGATTCGACCACACCAGAGCAACACTCTTCTCCAGCCGCAGCCAGCGTTTCGAAATCTTCTGTATCACAGAGGGAACCTGGCGACTAAAGTGAGTGGACAAATAATATTATTACCACGCGCTTATTGCCGTGCGTCGTTAATATCGTGCACTTTCTTATTAATAAATTCCCCTTTATTTTCGTATTCCAAATCATCTCCTGATTATTTTTCATCGATTGCGGACCTTGTCGTGGAAGCAGAATAAAGAGTCGCGTACCCTGAGATCCCGCTAACAATCGTATTCGGCCTTTCAGCCTGCTAATAGTTTCAACGTAGCCGCTCACATTGAAACGCGTCCTCGCGAAACTAACTAAACCCGCGACTAAAAT